GTAACCCTCAACTTCCTCTCCCCTCCTCCTGCTACTTCTCACTCGGAGCGGCCTCCTCAGCCCCCCGGCCCCCGGGGGCAACCGTCCCCGCGGCCCCCTGCCCTCTTTCCCCCCCCCCTCCGTCCCGACCTGGGCTCGTTATGAATATGGCCCCGGGCAACTGCACACTCCTGCGGACGCCCATCTTGATGAGCTTCTCCAGCGGAATGGCCGCCAGCGGCACAGACTTGGTGTACACTCTGAAGGAAAAATAGAATAATTGAAAGGAATTATTGAAAAGGAATTATTAATCGAAAAAGACATATTGAAAGAAATCATTGAAAGAAATCATTGGAAAGAAATTTATTGCAAAACGCGTAGATGAACAAATAGGTAAAGAAATAAGATATCCACACAAGCCACAATGAGGGGGTGTGAGGGGTTTTTTGTGTTGATGACGAAATGTGCGAGAGGGGCGTGCGAAGGCATACATACAGACATACAGACATACAGACCAGGATAGGAAGGCACCGACAGACCAACAATTACCGACAAGCCGAGCGATTCCTTTCTTTCATACCCGTCCTCCTCCTCCTCCTCTCCTACCTCCCCTGACTCACTCCCTCCCCCCTTTTGCACACACATACACACACACATATATACACCCCGACTCACTCTTCGGCATCCCACTGGTCTTCCAGGAACTCCTTGAACACCTCCTCCTTGTCCCGGGGGACCCACCACCAGGCCTTGGGTCGCCCCACCGCCATCAGGTTTATGGACTGCAGCAGGAAATCCTCCACATGCCACTGCAAGGTGGTGTGTGTGGGGGGGGGGGGGAAGGGGGAGGGGGAGGGAGGGGGAGGTGAGAGGTGAGAAGGGTTGAGAGGGGGTGCGTGTGGTGGTGTGTGTGTGAAAAATGGGGGTGCGGCGGGGGAAAGGTGAAAAGGGGGAGGGAGGGGGGAGGTGAGAAGGGGGAAGAAGGGGGTGGGAGGAGGGGAAGGGGAGGGCGACGGGAAGTCCTAAAGAAGCCACGCAGCAAGCCACTGAGAGGGGAAAAAGCGTGTCGTGTTTTACCCCTCTCCCCCCAAACAGCCCCCCCTCACCGCCGTGTTGGTGAAGGCTTGGCTGCCAATGTAGTACGAGAAAAACACACCAGGCAGCAACTGCATCCGGTGGGAAAAGGCGCCCTTGAGGTGGTGCCCTCCGACACTACTTTCGAAGCCGGCGCCGCCGCCGCCAGCGGCGGATGCCGCCGCCCCCTCAGCATCCTCCTCCTCCTTCTTCACCGTCACCTTGTGCTGCTGCTTCCGGACTCCGCCAGCAACCCCCGCCGCCACCTTCTCCATCATCTCCATCTCCACTTCGACCTCCCGTTCCGCCTCCACCGCCGCCGCCTCTACCGCCTGCAGCTCCTCATTCACCGCGTCGTACAGCTCCCGTTCCTCTTCATCAGCCTCGTCAGCCGCCGCCGCCGCCGCCGCGTCGTCGTCCCACGCGACGCCGCCCCAAGTCATGTAATCCGCCGCGGCGGCGGCCGCCACCTCCGCCGCGGCAGCTGCTGCCGCCGCATCCTCTACACACGTACCCGTACAACCCACACGGCCGCTGGCAATGCAACGGCTGGCGCGCGCGGCAGCGGCGGCGGCAGCGGTGGCGGCCACCTCCGCCGCCGCCTGACCCGCCGTCGTCTGCCGTATAAGCTCCCCCAGGAAATCGTCCGACAGCGGCGCTGACGTCACGCAGGTGAAACTAAGGTGTCCTAGATCCAGACCTTGACCACGCCCGCTGCTATCCTGCGGAGGCCGAAGAATAAGTGACGGCGGCGGCGCCGCCGCCGCCGCGTCAGCGGCGCCGTCGTCGGGGGAAGCGCAGCACGAGGACGCGCACTTGGCTGGCAGTAGCTGTGATGACGGCGGCGCCGTCGCCGTCACCAGCTCAACTGCGTTCCGAGGCCAAGCCGACGGCACTCGTTGCTGCTGTTGTTGCTGTCGTAGCTGGGAGGCCAGTACGTGCACGTCCAGTACGGGAGATTCGTGACGTGTGTGGTGAAAGGCCAAGCAGGAGCGGCCCAACGCGTCGAGCTCGGGGCCGCCGTCGTACAAGCCACTGAGTCGACCCGCCTGGGGTGATACCGGAGCAATACAAACCATGTATATGAAGAAGATGAAGAAAGATGGAGGAGACCAAGACGATGGAAAACAAAGGGGGGAAGGAAAGGAAAGGAAAGGGGGGACGGAAGACATCGCTCCACACGCAGGGTAACCGCCATAAACCCTCCGAAGAAGGATTAATTATAATATAAAAAAACTGGTTTTAAAAACAGAAAAAAGCGATAAAAATATATATACCACAAACGGGAACAGAAAAAAATTAGCAAAATTCATAAAGATGAATTTTGGTCATTGTCATTGTAACTAATAAAAAAAGCGGAAAGTACACGAAGTAAATGACAGCACACCCCAACTCGCCTGGTGACCAAAGACGCGGTCCCATTCCACCGCATTCGGCAAAATCGCATTGGCGTACATCCAGCCGCATCGAAGCGGCATTCGGCGATGTAACGCCTCCACGAAATCCACAAAGTCCAGCGAGTCTGGCGACTCGTCCAACGTCTGTACGGTCTCCTCCGCTGCCGTACGCTGCCGCTTGCGCTGCGGCCGCGCGGCTGCAGTGCGCTGGGGCGTAATAATCATATCTTGATAGAGCTCGGCTGCGAGGGTGTGTGTAGCGTGTGTGTGTAGGGTGTGTGTAGGGTGCGCAACGTAAGGTTGGGGAAGATGTAGGGGCTGGGGGAGGTGCAGGACAAAGGTTGTATCTGTTGATGATGAGGACGCGTGTGCGTGTGCGGAGAGTGTGCGTGTGTGTATTTCTCAAGGATGTAATCCAGGGAGGGACACGATATAAAAAAACGAGTCAACCACCGAAAGAGAGAAAGCGGAGCTCAGGATACAATAGAGCTGAATAAAATAAATTAAAAGTTAAAAAATGCAAATATAAAACCCACCAACGCGTAAAACTCAAAATCCTGTGGCCTGAGCGCTATCTATCGACGAAGGGAGACGCCTTCCACCTGTAGACATTTCCCGCCCCCCAACCCCCCCCAAAAAAACACATGTCGTACTCTGCCGTACCTATGAGTCTCTGACTGCACAGCGCCAGAGAAACAAAGGTCTTGAGTCGCATCGCCAGCCTGGTGTCCTCGGGGCCGTCCCTGAAATGAAGGAGCATTTTAAAATTAACACAGTTTCCTTGGCGTTACAAAATAAGATCAAGTGTTGGAAGATATTTTTCATGCCCCCGCATACGTCCACACATCCATACACACTCTCTGGATCCTGCATTCCTCCCTCTCCCCCCCACCTCCCTTTTCCCTTTCCCCCCACCTCCCTTTTCCCTTCCGACTCACCTCCCTTTTCCCTTTTCCCCCCGCTTTTCCCCCCTCCCTTTTCCCCCCCCCCCT